CAGCACCCCAGTTGTAAAGCCGTTATTGTGGTTACAGTCTGAGCCAGTTCAGTTTTCTTGGTTATGAAACTCAAGTGGTGAAGAAGAAATGCAGTATTGCAATAAAGATTCCTTAAATTCAAACAGTGATAAAGGTTTCCTTAGAACGAAACTTGTTTTCTTACAGTTAACCAGCTGGGGAACCTGAATATGGCCTCAATTTGAGGGGGTTTTGCGACCACAATGGAGAATAACATTGCTGGAGGTGCCCTCTTTCCTCCCTTTGCCAGGTTGTGCTTCAGTTTTATTAAATGCACAGTGCAAAAGCTCCATTAAGATTAACACAGGGACAAAGTTTTATCTGGGAGAAAAGGCCAAGTTCTGAAAGCGCAACAGCAGCATTTGACTTCAGGCTGGCTGGAGCTCTGAGGAGGAGCAGCACGCACGAGAAGCTCTGTTTCCACCCAGGGAGCTGGCTGCTCCTTGTGGAGTGGTTTCAACTTGTAGGAGCCTGTACCGGAGTGTCTAGGAGGCAGGATTTTACCCAGGAAAACACACTGCTATAGCAACACCCCGCTCTCCTCAGGGGAAGGTTTGCTTACCTAAGCTGTCTCTGAAGGGATGGCTCCTGTGAAAGCAGCAATGGGCGAAGCTCAGGCAGTGCCCTGTGCTTGTTCCAGTGTCCCCATGCATGAGTGACTGCAAGGCTGGAGATGCAGGTACCTGGAATAAATTTTAAATATGGTTAAGGTAACCTTCAAACTTCACCTCAGGTGAGGAAATCTGCCTGTTAGATTTACACATCCAGCTAGCAGCTGTGCTCTTGCAGGGCTGGTGGGGCCTTCCCATGCTTCCCAGTAGCACAGACTTCAAGACCATTAGCAAGCTCAGTGTTGGTGTTGCAGAGTCTTCTGTGGGAAGAATTTTCCTGCAAGTTTGGGTACTGTGGCTGTAGGGTCTGGGCTTTTAAGTCTTACTCTGCTGTATTTATTCCACCTTGAGTGCTAGTGTAGCTCCCCTCAAAATTTTTATTTTCTCTTTCTCTATTATAGAAAGGCTTTAACAGTTTTGGAGGCTGGGCAGAAAGCTTTCAGTCATGTAGACTCTAATTACTGCAAAACCTGGGGCATTCCTTAATCTCTAAATGACACTTTGTGAATGCCAGACCACCTGGAAGCTGTGCTCTAACTACTTGAAAAGGTGGACAAAGGGTAAACCATGGAGTCCCACCGCACTTGGCAATGGCACACAGGGCTACTTGTCTGTGACTTAGCTCTTGGAGCCACTGCATATGACTGAAGTTCTAATTAACCTGTACATTTATGTATACTTGATCTGAATTGAGTGAGCAGTGCTTAGCCATACCTTGTTTTGAAGAAGGGGATTTGGTTGGACCCAAGATCTAACCCTTGCCTCAGTGTGCTTTAATGTCATGAATAGATTGTGATTTTTAGCTAAAAATGACTGCTCTTAAGATACCAATTAAGTTACATCGAAATTTGCTAAATATTGTGAGGTGACTGTTCTCCAGGACCTACGATTTGCTTGGTTCAAAATACTTACCTCTAGCACACATGAGGAGCACAGGATTACAATAATCCCCTGAATGAATGTGAAAAAGCAGATATTTAATGTGCAAAAAAGTTAGTGCTCCCAGTTCCATGTGCCTCTTGCATGCTGCATTTCACTACTGAATTGCCAAACCTGTAACTTCTCCGTTAACGCTTCTGGTCATTTCTTAGAGGCAGCAGAAGTGTAATAGCAGAACAAGTGTTTTCAGGGCAGCATTTAATATAGGTATTTATACTGGTGTAAACAGATGCAGCTCCATTCTACATCTCAGTAAACCTGATACAGGAAGGTAAAACTTCTGTCCTGGTGATGCACTCCCCTTGTGTGCCAAAGGTACTTGTGTCCCAGCTCTCTGCCTGCCCCAACAAATCGTTTAAGTTCTTGTGCAGCATCTGTCAAATTTTGACCGATGTGCTGCCTTATGATTTGGGAGGTATGTTTGCAAAGCTCCAGTTGTACAGAGGCAGATTGTGTTTGTCTGAAGACTCGAAAAACTTTCCCTCTCCAGTTTCACAGGAGACAGTAGAGGGGCTGGGAAATGTTTAACTAAACAGGTCTGGCTTCTGTTTAGCAATGAACCCATTATTACCTAAACAGGCAGCAGCTTCATCTCACCTTCCAATGCCCCTTAAACACTGTTGCAGAAACCTTCACCTGAATCACAAAAGCTGATGCCTAGGTGAAGAACTTGATTTTCTTCAAGTTTGTGGGTTTTTATTTGTGTGGGTGTTTGTTTTTTTTTTTGGGTGGGGGGGGGATGTTTATGGTTTGTTGGGTTTTTTTTGCCATGCACTAGTTGACTTTTCTTTTGCCTTGGTAGAGTCGGTGGGGAAGCTGGCAGTTCTATGCTTGAGACATCTCTGTGGAGATCCCCTCAAATAGCTCATTTCCATTAAGATGCCCAGGCACTGTCAGGAGCTTTGTCTACATCGGTGCTTTCCAGGCCACAGTAACATGTCTTGGTGGGACAGTAACATGTCATGATGGGACTCATCCAGCAGCTCCAGAGGTGTTGGGAGCAGGGTGATCCCAGATGATTTTATTCTAGAGGAACAACAGTAGTCCTAAACATAGATTCTGGGCTTCTGTCTTAGCTTCAGCCTAGTAGGGCATCAGTGAAACTTCTCCTGGTGGGTGAAGGAGGCCTTGTTTTCTGCCAGCTAAGGGGGATGACCCATGACAGGCCCTGTCCAAAAGGAGCTTCTGAAGTGACTGCACGCCGGTGTTACTGATGGCCAGGGAGGAGGTGCAGTTTCTGGATTCCCTTCCCTTGCTGTCGGCACAAGGCATTTGGATAACTTCATCTGGTGTCAGGGAAGTTCACCTCTAATTGCCTTTAGAAATTGATTGTTGGTCCTAAGAGCGTGCATTACAAAATAGAGAAGATGGATGCGGATGTTATGTTGGTGGGGGTGTGTTCCGGGCAGAGGGGAGGTAGCACGTGTGCTGATGGCGATGGCCACACTTTCACTTCAGCCCCTGGTGCTCCAGGGTCAAAGCTAGCAGCTCCCCCCTTGCACGTACTTCTCTTGCTGCTTCGATTCTGTTTTAGGAAATATCTCTTGAGGGAAAAGTGTCAGGAAAAGCCTTAAAACTGTCATCTAATTACATCCTGGTGAACTGATCAGCCTGAAACTTAAATGGAAGATTTTTCTTCTTAAGGGTAACACTTGACAACTGATGGCTTAGTAGCTGAAGTGGTTTTGCAGGCTAGTGGTGACATTTTAAGAGGAATCCCTGCACCGCATCTTGTATTGCGCATAACTGCAAACTATATTTAACTAGTGAGACCTGCAGGAGCGAAGGGGAATAAAGCAGAACAAGTTGCGGGGTGGGTTTTTTTCGTTTTTTTGGCAGGCTTTTTATTTTCTTGTCGTGACAGGCTGTTCTTCCACATTTTCTTCCGTGGTTATGGAAGTAAGTCTCAGCTTCTGACTTGACCCATGCTTAATTCTTTACTTGCTCCTAACACCTGACTCCAGCTCATTTTAGAACGTGCAAGCCCTAGTTCATCATAAAGGACACAAGTTCCAGTCTGGGTGATTTTTTTTTTTTTAAAGTTGGTTTGTTTTTTATTTTCTTCTCTGTGTGATGTACTTCTCATTACAGGGAGCTTTCTGAATAAAAGATGAGTTAAGTCACACTGAGGAGAGTTGCTAGACATCATGCTTAGCTGTGTTGGATAAAAAGCATTATGTGAACAAGCTGGAAAACTAATTGATGCTTTCCTAAATGAGAGCCTTTGTGGTTTAACACTAATTCTAGGTTCTTTGATAAATGAAAGTTGGATGAGGTTTCTCTTTTAATGGGGGGGGAATAAATTGGTCTCCCTGTTAAAAAGTGTTTGGCTGGGAGGTTAGTTAAAACCAGTACATCTGTAATAGCCTTTATTCCTTTACCATGCAGCATGTATTAAAAATGTTGTGCAGCTGATGGTTTAATGCAGTGATACTCCTGATGAACTAGTCTTTGAATCCACTCTTCTTGCATTTAATTTAGAGAGAGGCCACTGACAATTTACTGTCTCCCTCCTTTTTTTTTTCCTAAGTGTCTGTCATACTCGGACTGCCTGAAATTCCTGCAGATAAAGTGTCCTCAAGCACTAACTTGTCACTGAAATGAAAGCAGCTGTGTTCTGGTCTGTACTCAGTGACCGGAGTTGCTTTTAATTTCTCCCTACCATAAAACCTTTGGTTCCTCCATTGGTTTGTCATGATGTTCAACTGAGTAAATGAACTGTTAAAATCTGGGTGGAGTTTGCCATTTGTCATCAACTGTTTAAAAGCTGAGCACACCTCCATATTTGCTTTCCTCTGAATTTGCATTAGAAACCCACAACAGCATTTATAGTTCACAAACAAATTTCACTCAAATGTTTCTCATTTGCTTCTGAAAATACAGAAGCAAAGGCTGATCTGTGGCTTTGCTCTGTGGCTGGGGAAGTAGTCAACCATACTGTCAAGTTTAGAAAAGAGGCATTAAGAAGTAGCAGTGGAGCAGGGGGTCAGGTCAATTGCAGGAAGGGTCCCTAAGCCACCAGCTGCGGACCTGACATCCCTGAGCTCCTGGAGATACCACAGTTGGTAGCGACCTCCCTCTGTGTAGGATTTATTCTTAACTTCATACAGTTCAAAGGCATGTTAAATGTAAATTGCCAGCGTTGAGTCTAAAATAATGACAATGTGTGTCCTATATGTGAGTGAGGAGTGCTATAGAGAGAAATGAATTCTAAATATGATTCACTTATGCAGCTCAGAGGTAATGAGACCTACCTTTCAGCGGAGCAAGCATATGGAGATGACAGTTTTTCCATCAGCTCATGTTGAATTTGCAAATGCTACTTAGAAACTTTCCACTTTGTTCTTTAGCACTTGAACCTGGAACATCTAAGACAATGACTTTTATACAATACCTGGGAACTGAGCATGGATTCTCCTTCTCCTTTGCAGGTGCTGAAAGCATCGTTGCAATTATGATCAGCAACCTGAAAGGCATGGAGATCTTGCACCGGATTGAGAGTGGCCTGAAAGTGACTATGGTTATTGAAGTGGGGAAAACGCACGATCCTTGGATGAATCGATTCTCCCTCTTCTTCATCTCCGTGTCATCTTTCATCATCACAGTAGTAACCATAGGCTACTTTATTTTTTATTCTGTTCGGCGTCTCAGGATCGCAAGGGCCCAGTCCAGGAACCAGGTGAGTTTGTGCATGCAATTGCTTTTTTTTTTTTTTTTTCCTTTTACACCTGTGAGTCCCCAGTGCTGTGATCTTGAGGGCAAAATACTGGTTGAGCACCAAAATTACTGAATTTGTTCACTCCACAGGAAGGAGAGGATGTGATCTTTAAAATGCTAAGGGATTTATCTTCAAGCAGCTAAAAACTTTCCAAGGAAACAGCAATAGGTAAACAGTCTGAAGAAGGCAACTGATCATGTTTAGCTGACTTTGTCTCCTACAAATTTTACTCCCCAAACTGCAGCGCAATCGTAATGCTAGTGTATTGGAGGTGGTGAGAGAGCTAAACTGCTTTTAGCTGACCCTCACACCTCCCACGTAGCACTGCCTGTGTGCTCGCTGTGATGTGAGACACGACTGCAAATGTGTCTGCAACGTGGTGCATGGCTTTGGCGGCCTTTCTGTAGACCGCAAGCTGGGAAGCCACTGCTTGTTGAAAGCTGCTTTCTGACTGAAAGCTCTCTGAGAATTGCAGTGACAGTCTCAATTAGGAGCTGGAAATAAAGCACTGTCAAATTGTGTTCTTTTTTAAATCCCAGGCAGGGAGTTGCTAATGAGTTAAGTTTCCAAGAAACTCTTCTGTGCAATAGTCTCATCAGCTAATAGGACTAATGCTTGCAGCTTTGTCTTCAGTCTGATCGGAGCTGCCTTATACCTGCTTCTTCAGGGCTTAAGCTAAAAGCCTTAAAAGCGAGAATGAAGTCCTGTCATCTGTCAAAGGTGATGGGCAGCATCAGGAACAGGATGCGAGTACTTCAGCCCTTGCCCTTAGAGCTGTGTTGCAAAGGACACCACTGGTATTTGCAGAGCTTCTTGCAGAAACTACCCAAACTCTGAAAGAAGATTACAGTCTTCTGCTGCAGAGAGCAATAGCATGAGCATCGCACTTCAGCTGGCCTCAGAGTATGTGAATTATCTCTGGATCAGTGGTCAGATAGTTAAAGAAGTGACAGACTTCTCTGGAGAAGACCTGCCCTGCTAAGCTTCTCTGCTGTCCTGGAGATTTCCTTGAGCAAGACCCTTCTGAAGGAAGCTGATGAAGCTAGAAGTTGGACACAGGTGTTGAAATCTAGGTCGGTTTCGGGCTTCTGTAACACTTTAGGACTGGCTTCTTTAAAATGTTAGCATGCAAAACCATTGTTGCTCTTGATGGGCAGGTAGAGTCGTTAGGGTGAATGACAGCAGTGTTCCTGGAGTTGAATGCTGCGTTCTTTCCAATAATCACAGGCACTAACACAGTCGAGTTTGTGTTCTGAAATCCTGTTGTCTTAAGTGTAATCTTGTGGAGGATGGTCTGCTGGCTATATCTTTACTGAGACTAGAGAAGTAACAGTGAGCTGAACTTTTTGTGCCTCGTCTCAGCTGTGTCTGCCTCAGGTTCTGGACTAGACCTCCTCTAAGAGTTTTCTTTTAGTCTGTTTTCATATTCTGGTGTTATGCCACACCTGGAAGCGATGTGAGGATACAATAAGGGTATAATTGGAAGAGCAGTGCTGGAAGTTATCATCTGCCTCTGAGATGTAGCGTTGCCACTCCTGGATGTCATGTGGAGTTATCTCTGTAGTAGGGATGGCATGGAGCTCTAGCTTGATGCTCTCCTCGTGCTGATGTCACTGGACAGAGATGCACAGTGCTCCTGCTGATGAATTCACTCTTCCATTCCCTGCTCTCTACCCTCCTATGAGAGCTGTGTTCAATGCTAAACAAATACAAGCAGGAAAAATGGATGTCCTAGAAGCTGGTCTGCAAAAGACACCGTTTGTCAAACCGTGTGAGAATTTGTCCTCCTTTGAAGGTATCTAACAGAACAGTTGTGGGGATCCAACTCTGTTCCGAGCTATCAACAAGCAACAAACATTATTAATTCCTCAGTAGTAGATGGTACTGGGAAATTCCAGTCTGTTTGGCTAGCACCTTCACAAGCTATTTCTATCTTTGGCCCTGTGTGCGCAAGGAGTTTAGTGTAGAGCAAAAAATAGTATTGATAAATTACATGCCAGTTCCACATGATTTCAGCTGAACTGAAATTAAGGAGCCTTCAAAAGTGCTTTATAAAGTATAAGAATAGAAGAAAGCTTCGCTATCGGGGGTAAAAGTGAATTGTTTTGTAGATGTGAAACTCAAGACAGTCTAGAATTGTTCTCAATTGTTTTTATACCATGACATCTAAAAACTGGCTTCACAATGATAAGATAAGCAAAGAATAACAAGAACTTTCTTGTTAGTGAACTACTAAAAGGTGATGCCACAGTGTTCCCTGCTAGCCAGCTGACTGGATTTTCAGTATCTATCCAAAGTTTGAGACTTAACTCCTTTGGTTCCATAAAATACTGAATATTAGTCAAATAACTCACCAGCTTGCATGTCACATGGGGAGCTTTCTTGTCGTCAGTCAGCCCTTTTGAAACTCTGATTGTCTGGACTTCAGTCTGTTACTTGGCGGAGTAAAGGAGCGTGCTTTGTCTCCTTTATCGCACAGATGTCCAAGGGTTATACATTCTTTTGGGTGGTGTCTTTAGAAAATGGTCAAATGTGTTGATAGCTAGGTATTATAAATTTTCCCTCTTTCAGAAGTGAACTGCTGTTCTAAATGCATCCCTTTATTTGGTGTTCCTCCTCTTCAATATATCTATTTTGACCTTCCCTGTGGGATTATATTGCTGTTGTGTGAGGAGTTTCTTAAAGTGTCAGTCTACCACCTGAACCAAAATGAAAGCTTTTGAATTGCTCTGCACAGTGCTGTGATGAGCTAATGGTGATGTGTGATAATGGTGCTCTGCAGCTTGTCTCTTGTAGGTTTGGGTTGCTGAACTGGTCTTGTGGGCAGAGCCCCAGCCCTGGGAGAGCTCTCACCATGGACTGAAAAGGGTAATGCAGCTTGAGTCTCGCTTGCTTACTAAGGGGTAGAACACAAAGAGGCAAGACCATTTTCTAGATGCTTTGTCCCTTCTGCAAAGGCTTCTTGAAAGCAAGAGCCTGGCTAGATACACATTTCATTCATGCTTGGGACTAGTAGTAACCCCTGCTTGAATTGGATGGCTTCCAGGTATTGCCATATTGGCAATATGTCCATGTGAGAACATAAGTTTTGTAGCACATCTGTCCTAACCGAGTTAAAATAGAGTAGTTTTTTATTTATGAGCCAGCTAGCTAAACTGTTTACAACCTCCTAATTCTTATCTGAATGCATATTTTCTTCTGGGATGGAAACTCAAGTCCCCACCTCTGCAATCTCTTAGTGCATCATGAGGTCTGTGAGCAAGAAGGTGAAAAAACAAGGCAAGTGTTGTAGGTGGCTTGCTGTCTCTCTAGTTTGAGTACTGGCAGATTCAGTTCCTCAATATATTAACCTTTCTTAATAGTGCAAAATGTCCAATGATGTTATCTGTGGCCTGGTTTCTAATTTAAGCTCAAGTCTTCACTTCCATTGACTTCATAAAGATTAGAGTTGCTGCTGAGAAATGACCTAATTAATGGCTTTGAAGGAGGTGAGTTGCTCAACTTTCCACAAGTCAAATCTGTTTTCATGGCAGTAGCTACCTGTGGGGCAGAACTTCTCTAGCTTACAGAAGAAAAGCAGGAGTTCCTGACCTCTTTAGAGCTTGCTGGTTTGCATTGCCCTGCCAGGAAGGCACCCTTATGCAGAAAGGGTTGGAGATAAAATCTGCAGCATAGGACTAGGGAAGACTGAGGACTAAACAACAGCAAAACTAAATATCCCTGTTAGGTACTTCTCTACTTCAACATGCCAGAAGCTGGATAGCAGCTGGGACCTTGACTGCTTTGCAATATCTTGATTTTTTAAATTATTTTTTTATTATTTTTTTTTACTTTCCTCAACTTGGTCAGTTATTTTCTAGAGTTCCTGGGTTGGGGCTTTTAGACTTTTAATGCCATTTACAATTAATGTTTGAAAAACTTGGTTTCACAAAATGCTTTGACATTCCAAGCTCAAGTGTCCTGGATTCCCTGATAGGCTATTCAGTAAAAAGCTTCCTCTTCCAACATTTCCATGTTCCCAGAGGCATGTTCTGCTGTTCTTACCAAAATCAGTGTTAAAGGTGACTTTGCCATTGGAGCATTTCATGAAGAGCAATTAAACTTGTGCTCAGGTAGAACTTAAAATATTGTTTCAGTAAATTATTAATGATACAACCAGTTGAATCCTGTCTAATATGCTTGGCCAGACATTAGATTTGTAGATTAGATACTGTATGAGGGAGTACATTCCTAAAAAGTTTAGTTTTCAATTAGTAACAAGTAGTGGTGACAGAAGTACTAACATTGCTGAATTCCTGCTCTGTCAATGTTACCACGTTTGCTGAAAATTTTGGGGACCTCTGTGTTTTCACTGAAACATTGACAAGGGGAACATCACTCTAAAGTTACACTTAAGTGATATACAAAAATATATATTTATGTCTTCAGCAGAAGAACTTTAGAAGTTTCAAAGAAAACTTGTCTAGTTATTGTTCCTGCAAAATATCCCTGAAAACTTGTCTCCATGTTTGGATTGTATGCATCTCTTCTTTGGTAGTTGTTAATAGCTATCAACTATTAAACTCCTAAAAGCTATATCTTAAGGCCCCAAAATAACATTGATGTATAAGTCATTTTGTACCAAATCTGTTTGACAGGGTCCCAGCAGACCATGTAAATCAACTTGCTTGTCATTACCTGCTTCAGCACAGGGAGTCTTACGCGGATTTGAATACCTCAGTTCTCACTGAGGTGGTTGGGTGGAGGGGTGGCTGCTGACACCTGCTTGTGCCTTCTGCACTTCTGCCACCAGCACTGCACCGTCATCTCAGAGTACATTCTTGTAGCTGAACTAGAATGCGTAAGGGGAAGTAATGCTGGAAAGCAAACGGTGTAGGGTTCCTCCCCTACCTGGCTGAGTTGGGAGGAGGATTTTTGGTTAGCTGCAGAACTGGAGTTTAGTGCGTCCCTAAAACAAGCGCTGTGTTGGGGCGGCAGTGCCTCTGTGTCCTGAGGTAATTAAGTGCATGGGGGAGGGAGAGGACAGTCATATTCTTTGTGTTGGTGGAAGAGCATCAACTTGTGACCTTTAAACAGAGATGTGGGCTCTAGTGCTTATTAAATGCTTTGCAGTGACAGCTGGACAGCAACAGTTGCCAGGCAAGCTGTGCTTCTGCTGTCTGCTCATCTCTGCCCTGCTACCCCAAGAGCAGCGAGCAAATTACTGTGTGAAGGGGAATGTTTCCTCCTCTGCCTTTATTAAAGCTGCCCAGCAATCCACCTGGGGCTAGTAATTTGATTTGTTTCATGCCTATGTCATGGGGCGCGGGGAGAAATAGCTCTGAGCTTTCTCTTTCTTTTTCTGTGTTACTTTGTACCAATATTGAGATAAAACTGCATTCTTCCACTTGGCAGGAGCAGTCGGTGCTAGGACCTTCCCGAGCTGTTTGTGTGCTCTGTAAAGCAGTCTCGTGGCAGAGAACCAGTTTAGGGTGTGTTAGTGGTAGCTAAGCTGATTGGTAAAGAATCTCACCTTTCATCAGGATGTGAGTTTGTGCCAGGATGTTGTCATAAAGTGAGTAGTTAATATTATTGATCTTCAGACTAAGGTTCAGTCTTCTGTACCAAGTCAATTCGAAGGCTTCTGTTTGTCAAGGCTAGGTCTAATGTGTTCAAGCTATTGTCTTCCATCTTCTCAAAGAAGAAACCTTTTAAATTCCTGTGCTCTGTGAAAAGGTTAGGTAAAAACAAAGCATGTGCAAATGCCATGTTGGTGTGTCACCCAGAGTCAATAGACACTTGGGTATGTCCTGAAACTCTGTTTCACGTTGCCCGTATATAGGGTGATCATGCTTACTTGGCTTCTTTTGTTAACATCCAGGCTATAAAACTGGTGCCTGCTTGCAGCAAGCACCTTGCTATGTATTAGTAACCACCACACAAGAGCAAACTGACTGTGTTTTAACTGGGACTGCTTTCTGTTACAGAGTCGACTAACAGCCAAGGCGAAGAAGGCCATTGCGCGGTTACAGCTGCGCACCCTGAAGCAAGGGGACAAGGTATGACTGATCCCATAATCTCTGGAGTGTTATGGCACACCCTTTGTATGGAACCTAGAGAATGGTCCTTAGTACTGGAACAGGATGGTCCTTAGTACTTGGCGTGAGTCCAAAGAAGGGCAATGAAGCTGGTGAAGAGCAAAGTGGGAGCTAGTCTCTTCTTGCATGTAACAAGTGATGGGACAAGAGGAAACAGCCTCAAATTGCACCAGGGAATACTTAGATTGGATATTAGGAAAAAATTATTCACTAAAAGGGTTGTCGAGCATTGGAACAGGCTGCCCAGGGAAGCTGTTGAGTCACCATCTGTGGAGGTATTTAAAAATATGCGTAGATGCAGTGCTTAGGGACATAGTTTAGTGGTGGACCTGGCATTGCTATGTTAATGGTTGGACTTGATGTTAGAGGTCTTTTCTGACCTCAGTTATTCTGTAATTCTATGATTCTAGGATGCAGACATCCCTCTGGGCCTCTAACTGTCTTGTTGTAGAGATGGTTCTTCTTTCAGAGTAGGTCCTTTTCCAGGATGCAAGACTTTCCAATTTGGACATTCTTATAAATCAATTTTTTTTAGCTGCTTGCTTGTGGTCTTGCTGAGGTGCAAGGTCCTTATTTGCCAGCATTGATGCTTAAAGGTAGACTAGTATGTCTTCTCAGCTTCCCTGTCTGTTCTTTTTGTAACTAAACCAGGAGGTAGCAGTTTCTAAACCTCTATGGCAGTGCCTTAAATAATCCAAGGATGGTTTGCAGCTGGACTTCTAAACCATGGGATTAAACGTTCAATGCTTCTGTTAAAGTGTCAGTTTGAGTAATCCACACAATCATAGAATCATAGAGTGGCCTAGGCTGGAAGGGACCTTAGAGATCATTTAATCCAACCTCCCTGTCATGGGCAGGGACGCCTCTCAACTAGATCAGGCAACACATGGCAATGTGTTTATGTAAGTTTATGCACAGGAGCTATTTTAGATTACTTTAGCTAGACCCCTTTGTCTGCAATAAATCTGACTGTAGTTCAAAGGAAGCTTTCAAAGTCTGTTAATGCTGTAAATTCATTTCACTGCTTTAGGAAACCGGTCCTGATGGAGATAGCTGCGCTGTGTGCCTTGAGCTGTACAAGCCAAATGAAGTAGTGCGTATTCTGACTTGCAAGTAAGTTGTTTTCCAAACTTCCCCTTAATCCAACCTCTGGAAGCATTCCTCTTACTGGTTGTTCCTTCTGCAGCGGTAACAAAGCTGATCAAACTTTAATCAAGCTGTTGCACAGCAAGAATTCAGGAATCCATGTCAAACAGTGTTTTGAACAACAGGAACTGCATAAATACACACTTGTAGTGTGCCACGATGGCCTGTGTTCATAACTTCCCCTGTGAGTGGACTGACAAGTATAACTTAGCAGACCTCACTGCCTCTCCAGGGGATGCCAGGGCTTCTTAAAAATTTCTTCCTTTGCTGGTGTGTAAGAATGTTACCTCTTGAAGATATCTGGCAAAGCCATGCCCATTTCTTGTCACTTAGTTCAATGGTTACTACGAGGGTTATTGCTGCCACTAAACTTGTTAAACTGTGCTAACTTTTGTAGTTTAGAAGAAAGCTTTTCTATTATTGGATGCATCATCTGAAACAGAGACCAAAACAGAGCTGTAACATTTTATTTTTTTAAATTTCTTTACTGTTGTGTCTCATTGCTTTGCTTCTGTGGAAGCCTGGTATTGTAGCCCTAAGACTTTAATTAGATTGTTCCCAAGATGAGCAGTGAAGCCTTTTTAGGGCTTAAGGAAACTTGTTCTGTGGGACTTCCCCCTGTGCCTGCTGAATGGGACTGCCCTGGCAAAGCTGTGAAAATCAGAGGGCAGCCATGGGAACTGTATTTTGAATTTTGTGTGGGAAGAATTTTTGTAACCCTTGAGGAGACTTACCAAAAAAGCACTCGGAAAAAATTTTGATGTAGGAAAATCCAGGTTCTGAAGAATGGAAAAATCTGGAGCTGCTGTTGTGTACTGAGCAGTGTTATTTGTCAAACACTGTCAAATCTCAGCTGAGGTTACCTATGCACAAGGTTACAGTTTTGCAAAAGCTTTCTCTGCTCCCAAGCAGGAGGAGCTCTAAGCTGTTTTGGTATCATGAAATTGGCCTGTTAAGGTGTTATCAACAAAATTCTTTAATCCTAATGCTTAGTAGTTTAGAAAAAAAACAAAGCCTTGTAGGTTTATGCCTGCAGGTGGTCCTGTTCAGTAATGAAGACCCATGAGTACAGAAACATTTAGACAGGTTCTAGATACTTTTGGCTGATAGGAGACCTAACTTCTCATTATTTTCCTATAAACTTTGCTAATCTTGATATGAACTTGTGAGCAAAGCATGACTTCTTGGGGTAAGAGTGAAGTAACTACTTTTGAAGATACTCTTTTTACGCAAGTTTGCTGCATGATGCTTTGTTCTGAGAGTGTTTTTTATATATGTTTGTGATGTTTCACTCTTCTTTGGCCCAAGTGTACCTCTAAGAAGCACTAGCTTAAGATGACTGCCTTTACTTGATAATCTTCACCAGTTGTGATCTTTGCCAGTATCAACCATACTAAATTCTCTCACATGAGTTCTAAAATGATATTTACTGCAAGAATGTACTTGATGTTGGTGGTTGACCTCAACACTGAGACCCTACTTGTTGAAAGCATTTAACTATATCCATGAAAGAAATAAGCAATCAAATGCTCCTGTGAGTAACAAAAGAGGTATCTTAAGTACTTGGGGTGTGTGTATTTGCAGAAGGCATTCTTGTCCAGATAGTCAAACTGGAGGCATTTATAGCAGCAGAGGTACACAAGACCAGTATTAAGTCCAACTACTTAAAACAGTTGTGTGTCAAGGAAGCTTCAGATTATTCCCTAGACATCACATTGGTGCAGCTGGAGGGAGGAGCTGGTTACGTGGGCTCACTTGGAGAACCCTGGTATCACAGTGGGGCAGAGGGTACTGAGCAATGGAGGTGGTGATCTCTGCACTTGTCTCATAATAGAGTTCTTATTAATATTGAGCAGTGCCTGTCTGCTTTGCTTTTTCTATTCAGGCTGAGGGAACAGGCAGATTAAAGTATTTCAGGTCATTCTCCAAAATCTGTCACCTGATTCTCACTCATTGTGGAACTGAGTGTCTTCACAAAAGCACACATTTGCATCTGTAACGGTGGAACTATATTTACTTTTTGAGTACACAGCCTGCCAAATATCCACTTGGAATACACAATGATTGGTAGACAAATTAGATGTGTGGGACTACAGTTTATTTTGAGGATATAACTCTGAGATGATTTTTCTATTTAGTTTTAACAAAAAGAAGTGCTGTTTAGTGATCTACATCTGCATGACAGAAGCTAAAATTAAAGCTAAGGCTGTAATGTTAATAGCTGTATTAGTTAAATTATCAGCTGGGAATATATTGTACACAGATTTTTTTTTTTTTTTAAAAAAAAAAGCTTAAGACCTATGTAGCAGGGATAATGCTGAATTCTAGCAAGTAGTACAGAGATACTAACAAGAATAAACCAGCTACAGTTTGAAAGATCAATTGTCCATAACTTTCAACTGCAATTTGTGGCACAATAAGGTAGTTCGTTCTAGAATGGATAAATTCTCAGTGTTTCTAAATGGGCCAAATAGCTGCCACACAATCAGGTCTCCTGGTAACTTGTTGGTTTCTTTCTTCCACCAGCCATCTCTTCCACAAGAACTGTATTGACCCCTGGCTTCTGGAACACAGGACATGTCCAATGTGCAAATGTGACATACTCAAAATTTTGGGTGTTCAGGTAAGCCAGTAGTCTTTTTTTTTTAGTGGCAGATGCCATTATCAGTGTAGTAACCACATATTGAGCTATTTTGTGCTGACTCTGGAGTGCAGATGATGAGTGCAGGCATTGCTGTGTCAGTGGTGAGATGCCACAGGACTAATTGGCGTGTCCCCTTCTGCAAAGAATGCAGCTGGCCTGGTCTGAGTTGGTATCATCTAAAGCCTTGGGGCAGAATGTCAGCCAAAATTGATTGTAATGGATGACTGAAGAATTGCTCTGAACTCTTGGCTTGCAACTAAGGGTGTTTCTCAAAGCTTCAGGCAGACTGTGACAACTCATACTGTCCCTGAAACCAGCCTCCATTCAGTTACTAAGTACCCAGAGTCCTTGAAAAGTGACTGTGTTAGCATGTGCAGCTTTCCTGGAGCCACAAGACTTCCTAGGATACGTAAGGAATTTCTGTTATATTTGGTAACTGCTCATTGTGGCAAGTGCCAGGGGAAGATGCTGTTGCCAATGGCCGGCACTGCCTGGACCAGCTAAAATGTAGAACAGAGTATGCCTTGGGGACAGAGGTCTGCACTGAGTGGAAGGAAGAATCTGTTTTCCTGGTGCTAGGCAATAAAAGGGAAGAGCTGGCTGAAGAACTCGGAAGCTGTGTCTGAACTTCCCACACAATTAGGAAGTAACTGTGTTTCACCTGTGATTCTGGAGGTTAACAGCAGAGTTTCCAGTTCCCTAGACTCCAGTCCTTGCAGGCACTGGTCTCTTGGAAGGATGCAGCCTCCTCTAAAGTTGTAACTTACGTTTTCTCTTTTTTCACAAAGGTGGATGTAGAAGAAGGGTCTGAGTCTGTGCAAGCCACAGTATCCAGTGGGACATCAAATATTGCTACAGTTCATTATGAAGATGATAATCGTAGTGAAACAGCATCATCTGGATACGCTTCTGTACAGGGAGCAGATGAATCTGTTCTGGAGGAACATGCACCATCAGAAAGTGCGTCTGCTGTCTCATCTGTCTTGCTAGATGGCATTGCGCTTTGTGGTTTATGCTCTGAATTAAGGGGCTTTGCCTTAACATCTCAGTGCTTGAATACCCTTTTTTTTTAAGGGTAATATTAATCTGCCCTTTTGTTTTAGCACTTGGCTCTGACACTTGTTCTTTGTTTTCAGATGAAAATCAACCTAAATTTGGATTTGAAAACTCAAGTCTATGAAAAGAGTAGTTGAAAATCAGGGGCTTATTCCTGAAGACCAAAGATATTTCTCTGTAGATGTCCCGTATCTTGTTGTCTCTTTGGATATTTCGTTTTGATGAATGAGTGTTGCTTTGCCATCAGATCTGTCTGCTTTAAGTAGCTAATTACTTAGACAAAACTTGTGGAGAGTCAGTCCTGCTCTAGCTTAGATGGTGCAAAACAAAGATGACAGATACTTCAACTGAATTTCACATTTTGCCAAGGCTTCAGGGAATTTTAATTGGAAAAGACTATCGGCTTTTCCACATGCCTTGTCTTTTTGAATGAGAGCAAACTAATTGAAAATGTCTTCCTAGTGCTCAACCACCAGTGTTCCTGTTGATTTTAGAAATTGAAAGATTCCAGGTAAACAAATGAAAGTAACAGTCCCCTGGACTGTGGAATGGCCTTGGAAAGAGGAATAAGTGGGGAACCTTTCAGAGGTGAAAGGGATGCTCTGGCTGTGTCTGCTTAGATTTCCTGTGGGAAGCCTTGGCTGGTAGGAAAGTGTGGCATTTGCTGCCTACCTCCTCAGGGACAGGCCGCTCCAGTGAGCGATGTGTGTATGGGAGTGCTCTGTTCAGGCACCCTAAGTAGAGCAGGGGGCACTTGCTGCAAAGCCGAACATCCAAAGTTGAAAATGCATTCCTATAAGCAACTGAAGTGATGCTGGATTGGTTATATGGCTCAAGGTCTTGTGTATCCTCAGTTTGAGTGGCAAGGACACAGGCTACAAGGCCTTCCTCTCCGAGCCAGCCTGTGTCCCACAGTTAGTCCTGAGCCTAGTCTCTAGAAGTTACTCCTGATGCCTGTCTTCTGCAGCCCTAAATTCTATTTGAGAGTTATTGGTCACTGTACAATTGGATTTCATAGACTTGTATGGCCTTCTGCCACTTGAGCACACTGGAAAAGACAGGTAGCGTCGAGAACGGGCTCACAAACTAACAAGGGGTAGTAGAAGAGTGGTAGTTGGAGCGTGGCCTTGGATTTCCCACTCTGCAGGAAAAGTGCTTGGAAAAGACAACTGTAGTGGTCTTGTGGAAATAAAGCAAGCGTCATTTGCTTTAAGGTGGTAAAGCTTGCCTATGACGCATTTTAACTTGTCTTTTCTTGTTGTGTTTTTTCTGGGCAGATGACAACATGCATCTTGTAAACAATGAATCCCAGGTGTCTGCTGTGAATGTCCTTCCACACATTGACAACCCAAGTTTTGAGGCAGACGAAACACAGGTTTGTGAAGCCCCAAGTCCTAAGAACACGCCCAGCAATGTGGTATAAGCCTTCTGCAAGGAGCTGCCTACTGCCATTGTGTGCACCAAATGTTGCAAGACTGGAGCAGAAAAATATTGCCTTGGCAATGCTGAGATTAAAGAGACTTGTTCAAATCATTTCTTTATGGTTTGCAACTCCTAAAACTGTGTCTCCCATACAGAATTTAGTTTTAGCGTTCTTCATATAAAGCTGTCTTAAAGAAAACCATGAAATTTTAACACTAAAACAGAAGCTTCATCTTCAGCAAACCTTCTCTTCAGTGTTTGAGTCATTTAAATAAAGAGAAGGTTCTTTGTTGTAGCTGTCTCTACTAGGAATTGTTTTGACTTGGGGTTTTTTGTTGTTTGTTGTTTTAATTCAAGTGGATTTTCATTGTAAACAAATTGATTTTCATCTGGTCTAATCCTTATTTACTAAACACAGTTTAGTTTAAAGCAACACTGTATTTAATATTTCAGTGCACTAATTTGGTAGGAGAAAGTACGAACTAATGACTGTCAAACTGTATTTTGCCCAGGGTGTCTTTGTCTCTCTAGTAAACAGATTGATTCTCTACCTCTCAGCTCCAGCCTACCAACCACACATTCCTGAAGGAAAAAAAAAAGAAAGCTTCAAGCTGACAGGCCAAATCTGACTTGCACAATACTGTAAAGGGAACAATTGTAGGAGTTTGTCAAACCTGTTTAATATTAGACAGTCTGAAAGGTCCGCCATGATTCTGAGAGTTAGAACCATCTCCTAGCACCAGCGATACGCCAGAGTCCTGGCTTGGAGAATCTGGGATGACTTCCAAGAAGACTGATGAAAAGACAGATTCTTCCCAAAGGATCTGCTGTGTTTTGTTCAGAAAATGATCTGGCCTGTGAAAAATGCTGGCCTGTTGCTGTGCATTGTCTTGCCTGCGAGTGAAAGCTGCAGGGAGTGCTGATATCCTAGAGATGACTGGAGAAGTGTCTGCCGTCGGTGGGGAGTTGAACTGGGATTGAGGAGGAACGCTGGGTGCCTCAATATTAAGTGTAGGGCCTTGCCCAGTGAAGGTAACTAAGGACATCTTACAGATGCACTTTATTTTTTTTATCTCTGTATCTATAGCTTGTTTCTGTTAACAGAACTTTGTCTTAAAGCCTGCAGTACTGTTGAATCTGGAGGGGAAAAAGCAATGCATTTTCTTAGCTATAGTACAATTAAAATGGTTGTAAATATTTCATGATTTATATTGAATTTGAATATGAAAATGTAAATAAAACTATATTTTGATGACCCTGACTGACATTAAGTGCTGATTACCAGATTTTGTATGGAAGCAGATGCTGAATTTGCCCTGAATTAAGTAGCAATGCTGGCTTAAACCAATTGGAATGTAAGGAGTGCTCATTATAAGCAGGGTTTCATGGATTGAAATTGTGTTGAGAGGCTTAAGCCTAGTAACTGTTCTCTATATAAAATTAAAAATGAGCTGCTTGGGGTGTGTTCAGTGAGCTGCTTCACATATATCAGAATTGTGCTTTTAGATCTGATTGGCACAAGGCAGTCTGCTGTGCACTCTTTGGGTCATCCAGGTTGCATCTTGTTTTCCTCTGTCAGGTCGCTCAACATCGCTCCTTCACTCAAGTTGATACTTGTCTTTATAATGCTGTGTCTTGCAAAGCAGGGATACTTCAGGATATTTTTTAGCTTTCTTGGTAGTGTTGGGTTGATGGTTGGATCAGATGACCTTAGAGGTCTTTTCCAACCTTAAGGATTCTATGATTCTATAAATGCTCTTTGTTCTATACTATTAGATGTAGTAAAATTGTCACTCCCCTGGCCAGTTTGCCAGTTTGGTGGTAGTTAGTCTTGTGCCTTTTTTTAAGCTCAGTTCCAAGCCCAGTCTAGGAAAAATTGGTTGCTTATGGGCTCAAGTTGTAAAGCTGAGTATAATCTGACTTCACTCTGAAGCTGTTTTATGCGATCACCTTTCTGTTCTACATCAGAAGTGCAGAGGAGAGAACGGAACATCCAAGCAGTTAATATACAACCCCTGGACACTTAATTTCATTTTAATTTCAGAAAGCTTTTATAAATTTATTATGGCATATAAGCTGTAATGTAGTAGAATTTCATGATGATATGCTCTCATAAAAAAAAAAAGAGGAGGGGGATTCAGATCAATTTATTGAAAGGCACTTGGGCATTTTTTTTGTTGTTGCAATCTACAAATTTGGGTTGCTTTGTTTATAGGATTCAAACCTTTCTATTTCCTATCTTTTATGAGTGAAAGATTTGGTTTTATTTCCCAGTGCTCATTTCTAAGGGTAAAGTGGAGGCACAGCATTTTCTCAAGGAATGCACACCTGGAGTACGGGGCGGGGGGTGCAGCAGTTCATGTCAGTGAACTCATGCTACTGTGTGATGTGTATGTGTTCTGGCAAGGTGTTGACTTGTTGGGAGCTTGAAGCACTTACTAATTTTCAGGAATATTTTTAAGGTTCTTGTATCAAATGTGAAGTACTGTTAAAGAAATAAAAGCAGCATTTGTACTTGAATAATATTTGAGCTACTGGTAGGCAGAAGAATTAATGTTTCTCTGCTTTTGAAGCTTAACCTGTGAGTCTGCCATGTTCCTTGTGTGTACAGATTTATTCGTAAATGATAGCTCTGCAAGGATTTTTGTTTAAAAATGAAAGCGTGCAATTTTCATGCAATCTGTGATACTGAACTTGGGTCTCTTGATGTCTCACTTTGAAAAAAAACTTTCACTGAATTCTGTGGAGGTTTTCCCCTTGGAGAACATTGCTGCAGTTCTAGCTGCTGTAAAGGAATTTCAGAGCTCTGCTCTCGCTTTCCATGGATAGCTGCTGTCTTTAGCTGACCTTGCTTAGAGCACTGTCAGCAGATTTTCTTTTTTTTTTTTGAGTGATGCTACAGGCTTGAATGGCTCTGTGTTATGTATATATATTTATATCTGTGTGCACTGTGTCCTGATAGACCCTTTCCTCTAAACAAGAGGCGAACAGGAATGTGCCTGGTGATAGGGTTGTTCCTGAAATGCAACGCAAACCTGCTGTTACTCTGCAGTAGTTTCGGGTTTTCCTATATGTACACTAATGTTTGCATGTAAGGTGCTGGAAAGTATGTGCCCGCAAGTGGCAGCGTCTCAACTGTTAATAGTCACACAGACGTGTCAGTTGTTCTGCCCCCAAAGAGAAAGTAGAACAGGCTCCAGCATCATCTCCAAGTGTTTGCTCACTGCTGTCATTTATCTCTCCCCCAGGAAAGCTCTGATCTAGATGCTTCACTTAAATGCCTGCATGCTCTTGAAGGGTGACTGGGAAAGTATTTTTCTATCCCTGCAGGACAGGAAGCCTTGTCACCCAGTGCCAGGTTACTCCTCTTTCTTGTAAACCAGGTTTTACAGCAGCAGGATTTTATTTTAAAATCCAACTCAAAATAATACAGTTTTCTCGCTGAGGAAAATTTTCAGGTGTCCCTACAGAAATGTAATTATATATATGTAATTATAGCTGAGATTTTTTTGCTTAAGGGAAAAAGCAGGGCTTGTGGTGAAGGGCTACAAACATATAAAAGCAGTTCAAGTCAAAAGGGCAGTTGGATTCTTCTTATAAAATAGAAGGACTTAGTTGGTTATCAGTCTTCAGATGGACAGATCTGCAGTTGTCGAAGGACCTAACAGCTGAACAGAATAAATATACACCTCTACTTTGCCTGTGTGATTTAATGTAATTCCATTCTGTGTTTAACATACACGAGCTCAGAAGGTAGCTCTGGCTTTTCACCCTCATGTTTTCCCTGTGCAGATTTGAACAGTTTCACTCCTGCAGGAGCGTAATGGCTGGCATTTTGGGATAGATGAAAGAAAATCTGCTGGCTTTGGCAATTTAATTTTGGCTCTAAAGGAAACTTGAAACCAAACTGCAGTGTTCACCCACCATGAATTAACTATGTAATTCTCTGCCCTGGTTGTTCAGTTGTTGGTTATATAAAGTGAAGCCAAAATTTATTTATATAGCTATTTATCTATTTATATAATCTTGGCTATGGTTACTTGAGGGAAGTAATTTACCATTTCTAGGAGGCCTTTAATACAGTGAAAGGAAAATTCTGCAGCACTGAATGGATCTCTGTAGAATGCATTGATTAGACTGTCGGATGATTGTGCACTGATGAAGAAAGAATTTAAGTGCCTATAAATAAACTCCTCCAAACTGATAAGAGTGGCACTCTTTGCATCTTAATAGTATTTGGTTAAGAATCCAGTGCCTGAGGGAACTGGAAAAAAGAAGACAGTCAAGACCTTGAAGCAAGGGAGAAGAAAACAAAACATTTTTCCAAGCAGTAGCATTTTACTGTTAAATTTTTATCCAATTGACAAAGTTTGAATCTTACATAAGAAAGCAGCATATGTCCTAGCATGTCCAGCATGTGTGAGATGCTAAGAGCCAGGCTCTGAGTAGGAAATGCCAAGGGCATCAGAATTAGAAGAATTAGAAGGCCTGTGTTAGATCCTTAATAGGTATTTCCTATCCAAGGGCTTGGCTAACTGGGGAAAATTAAATGGTAAACACTCTCAACGCTTTTAGAAGAGCACCATCCATGCGGGAATCACTCTATTACTCCCAGTTACTTTAGGTGAGGGGGTTGAAAAAACTGCCTCATAAAGAGTGACATGTTAGGCAGTTGTTTGCCTTGTCTCATTAATGTTTTATCTGTGTTAGTTGCCACATGCTGGCTAATGACTTTTAATTCATTTCTCCTTTCTAGTGAAGATAAAGCACCAGAAATTTGTTGCTTCCTACTCTGTTATGAAAGCACACAAAAAGAACAGTTGTAGTAGTTTAATCTATATTCAGTCCCAAAGATGAAACCTTTTAATACTACTCTTGCTGTGGTGCAATGAGTTGTTGGAAGGGAAAAAAAGTCTCATGGTAGTGCAATTCACCTGGTTTTGAAGCGTTCCA